TGAATATCCTGCTGTAAATCCCCAATGAAAAGGTAAACCTGGGGCTGTGGTGTGTTTGGTGGGAAGGCAAATGGCCTTCTTGGGGCTGCAGGGTGAGTTCAATGGCCCTGGATCCCAGAGGGAGCTGCCAGCATAGGATGAAGCTCATGGAGACGGTACCCTGGGGGTACCCTCTGGCCCCATCCCTGCAGAAGGACAGGGCTGGGAAGGGCAGGGTGTTGGGGCTGCTGGGCTGACGCTGGGACCAGTGGGAYATTCTTACCACTGTCTCTTCACCCCAGTGGGGCAGAGGATCGACACGGCTACATCTGGGACCGGCATTACAACATCTGCCTGGCCAAGCTGCAGCATGACAACGTGGTGAACTCGGTGGCGTTCAGCCCGGTGGAGCAGGAGCTGCTGCTGACAGCCAGTGATGACACCACCATCAAGGTGTGGCGCTCCCCGAGGGCCGTGCGCATCCGCCAGGCCAGGAGGCCCCGGCCCAGGAAGCTGCTCTTTTCCTGGCTCATGAACCAGAAAAGCTGAACCCAGGTACACCTGCTCCTGCAGCTTCCTCACTGCAGCACCTCCTCCTGAGCTCATAGAGCCCTGAGCCCTGCACAGAGATGAGCTCTAGGCACACGAATCCTATGGCTGAGCCAGGAGGGGCCCTGGCAGCAGGAATTGCCTCCTCCTTGAAGCATCTGCTTCAAAGACAGGACATAAGAGCTGGGGCTCTGCTGTGGGCCTGTCTGGCAGCATCTGAGCTGTTCACTGCAGGGTGGGCTCCCACAGCTTCTCACCAGCGTTGCTACTTGGGCACAGTTCTCTGGGTAAGCTCTGGGCTCAGGGACACTGAGACATGTCCAGTGTGGGTCTGGGTGAGCCGGGGACATGGCCGGCCCCACTGGGAGCTGTCAGCTGCAGAGCACTTGGCAGGAGCCACGGTGCAGCTGCGCTGCCTGACTGCAGGACTCATTTAATACTGGCATTTTATTAATGTGTGTTTGTCCCAAAGCTCCACAGGCAACTGGTCTGGCTGCTGGGGAACCTCAAGTGCCTCCTCCCCATGGCACCTGTGCCCGGGAGGGCAGCAGGGACTGGGGGCAGTGAGGGGGCGATGGGGGCAGGGCTGGGGACTTGACTGGCCCCAGGGTCTGTGTATTGATATCGCCAGTTTCTGAACTTGGGAGGGGGGAAGGCTGGTGGTAACATGGTGCTGGCTTTGCCTGTGTCTTCCTCTGAGTAGCACTTCAATAAGCTATGGATCAGGAATGTATTTATTGTAGGGGATCTGCTGTCCCTTTCTGGGGTACCCGTGAAGACAGCTCACCTTCTGCCTATGCTACCCAGTCGTGGCACTTTAGGTCTCTTGGTATGTTCTCTGTGAATAAGTGTAGGCACCACGGGTGCTGCAGGTGATGGGGACAGAGCCCTCCTGCCTGCAGTGACAACTGAATAAGCTCCCTGTCCCCGGGGCTGACCTGCTATGGAGGGGTCAGCTCCTCCAGGACCCCACGGGCAGTGGGGGTGGTCACYTGGCGTTACTCTGGACTCATGGTATTCACTGTCTGTCCCTTGAGCTTCTCTTCCTGTAGCAGGTACCCAAATGTCAGAGTCTAAAATTAAGCTCTTAATCTTGACCTGGCCTAGATGGGGCCCCCAGCAGCTGCTGYTGCTGCTGGAAGCAGGGCTGGGAAGGATCTGCAAGGGGAGGCATTTTGGGGCCCTGCTGGGGCAGGTGCCTGTGCTGTTCCCAACCTGGGGTTMCTGATAGACCTGATGGAGGTGGCAGCTCCTGTCACAGTGGCACTGATGGCTTTCGCAGCCCCTGCAGCAGGGGGGTCRGCACCTGTGGCCTGCTGTGCCCCAGCTTCATCCAAGACTCCCATACTCAGGTTTTCTGTCATGAAATGAGGTTCCTTCGTGTGTGTGTGTGCACGCAGGCTCCACATCCCGCTCTGTCCAGTCACACAGCGAAGTGTCAGCCTCTCCCTCCTTCCCCAACTGTGAACTCTCCACCCGTGRCTCGGTGCCGCAGCGAGTGAGGCACTGAGCTATTGTTTGTACTGAGTTTTGCTCTTCACTCTGGCATTGAATAAATACTCTGCTAAAGCATCTCTGCAATGTGAGCTTGTTTTTCCAAGTGCTGCTCTGCTGAGACAGAGCTGAGGCCTGGCCTGTCACATGGCTGGGCTGGGGCACTGCAGGAGCTGCTGCCCAGYCTGTGATTATCTGCCCTGGGCTGAGGAGTGTGGGCAGAGAGCTGTGAGCAACAGGAGAGAGGCAGGGGATGGCCTAAGGGCAGCAATGGTCCATGGCAGCCTTGGGAATGCTCTTCTTTACCAGGGCTGAACACTGCAGGCTTTAGGACTGGCCAGGAGCTGGATGCCTTCTGGATTTAGTGCTTGGAAAAACAGGTACAGAGCAGGTAAGCAGAGAGCCCTCTAGTGCTGTTTGGCWTTCCTGTGCCACAGCAGCATCCTGRGCTGCAATGCCACTGTCCCCTCACTGCCCTTTGCATCTTCCTGGTGCAGCAGCTGCCATGGTATGAAGTGGGTCTGAGGGCACCCTGGAGGCAACAGGTCCCTATGGGCATCCCTTGTGTTTGTCTCTTCTACACACAGTGAGTAAAGTCCCCCAGGCTGCTGCCCCCTGCACGAGTTTAGTCCCTGGGCTAATGCTGCTGCCCCTTGGGAGGGGCAGGAACAGGCATCCTATAGCCTGACAGCAGTGAGAGAAAAGCAGCCTGGTCTGGAGATTGCTGGGTTGTGACAGCAACAGGAGTGTTGCCTTAGCAGCAGAACCACAGGCCCAGCACCACTGCACCCCTTTGGCCCAGTGGAGCTCCAGCAGCCAGAGTCTAGCTCCTTCCCTTCCCATGACAGCCCCCTCCCTGCTCCTGCCTTGTTTGGGAGTCCTCCTGCAGGGAGACAGGAGCTGGGGAGAGCTCCCAGCACAGAAACCCCTGACCCCGAGACAATCCTTCCCCAYGCTGTGCCCAGCATCCCCTGGCTCATACACAACAGTGCTGTTAAAACAGCTTTTATTAGTGGTTCTGACCATACTACATCCTCAAGGAAAACAAAATTTAGTTCACAGTGCTAGGCTGAGATGGTGTGGTCAAAAGGGAAAAAAAATCTCACAAAAATCCAGCTTGTGCCCACTGTTTGTTTGTGTGGCCTCCAGGCTGGCAGAGCTGTGCCCAGGCTGGGCCCCTGCCTGCAGCACATAGGCACAATTCCTGCTGCCAGCTCCAGAGGTGCTAAAAGCCAAAAAAGGCCCAGACAGCGTCAGCAGCACCAGAAGGATGGGGAGGGAAAAGCTCCCAGGGGATGGGCTGAGAGGCCACGTTCCCCTCCAGGAGTAGCCCTGTGGCCTGGGAGAGCTCATCCCGAGCTTTCCYGCAGCACCAACTCTCCCACCGACCTTCCAAACGCTGCAGGGAGGAGGAACAGCTCCCACCCCAAAGGCAGCTCAGACCCCACCCAGCTCAGGCAGTGTCTCCACGGCCCCTCCTGGCAGTACCTGGCCAGAACCCCCCAGTCCCGTTTTCCCAAGGGCAAAGACATGCCCATCAACTCAGAACAAGCCCCCCACCACATAACAATTCCCAACGATTCTATGATCAGAGCTGACCTTCCTCTTCCTTCCCAGGCTTTTCCAAGCCTMCCCGGGGAGCTGCTAGGAGTGGGAGCAGGGCTCTGCTAGCCCGGATTTTCCTCATAAGGCACAGGGTGAGAGCAGCAACACAGGGCTTTATCTATCCCTGGAACAGGCTGGAGGGGGCTTGCACAAAGGGAAGGGTCCTGTCACCTCTCTTGCACCTCTGCCTGGCTGTGCTGGCACTGGCTCCTGTCTCCCTTCCCCTCCTCAAAGAGCAGGCACTGGGTCTGTCCTCAGCCTCTGCACATACAGGTGTGAGAAGTTCCACACACAGCAATTCCAAAGATCATCCCAGCACTCATCTGGAGAGCTCCTGGCCAGCACAGCAGCTGTGGGTGCAAGAGGTTCAGTTTGGGCCAGGGTCCAGCTCAGCCTGCAGGACACTGGGCACCCCTAAGTAACTGGGCAGCAGCAGGGACACCCCAAACAGCCCCAGGGGCAGGACAGGGCAGTGCCAGCACAGGGGGGGACAAGCCAAACCCCACAGGGCTCCCTGCCAGGGCAGAGCCTGATGGTGCTCTGGATCCCACAGGGTGGCTGTGCTAAAGCCAAGGTGTGAGCAGACCACAAGCCTGGCAGGCTCTGCAGCCATCAGACCCAGGCTGGGCACCTGGCAGGAGATGCTGGGAATGGGGGGCCAATCCCTGGCAGCCATGGAGGAGGTGACCACACTCCAGCCCGAGGGGCAGCACAGGAGCCAGCCAGGGCCCCTGATCATTGCAGGGTGTTGGCAGCAGGTTCCTGCTACCACCAAAACATCTCCTGGGGCATATTCAGCTGCTGACAGGCCTATGSGAAGCACAGGCAAAGAACAAAAACTTCAAGTCCACCCTGGATCAGGGCCCAATCCAGAGGTACCCATGGCCACCACAAAGCTGCAGAGGAATCAGCTGGCACCACATGGGGATATAGCAGCCAGCTCTTCCCCACTAGCACCAAGACACCTTCTCACAGGTGCTGAACACGTGCTGCCCAGAGGGAAGGAGCCCAGGGACAGAAGGGGGACAGTACACTTCACTGAGGGACTTCTCCAGCCCCCAGATCCTACCCAGATGGCTGCAGTTCAATGTGGGGCTGAGCGGAGGAAGAGCTCCAGGGTGCTGCCACCTGGGACCAGCTGGCCCATGACTCCTGAGCTCAGGGATGGAGAGGGACARTGAGGGCCAGCTGCTGGTCATCAGTGCCCACTACCTGAGCAGAGAGGAGACATCCCCCAGCCCAAGGTGTCAGTGCCCAGACAGACGGACACGGCAGCGCAGCCGCAGATGGACACGGAGCTTGGGGGCAGCAGGAGGTCTGGAAAGGCTGGTGGAGCTGACCCGCTATGGGAGGGAAGTCAGGTCAGAGCCTGTGCCTGTGAGCAAAGACAGCTCCCAGCACAGCTCTTACCCCACCCAGCGCTGCTCAGAACGCGTGGGCAGAGGGCAGCAGCATCTAGGGCTTTTGGGGTGCACACCAAAATCTGCATYACCCTCATCTTCTGGCACAGGAGGGATAATCTCCACAGCAGATTCACTTCTCTTTCCAAAAAGACATCCMTGGTGCTGCCCCAGACTCCCTCCTAGGCAGCAGCACCTCCTACCCCATTCCACATGCCAGCACACACCACCTATCACACACCCAGCAAAAGCTGGAGGCTCCCCTGCCCTGCAGCTGGGCTCAGCACCCTCCAAAACACACCAATGAYGTCAAACCTGTCCGTGTCTCTCTTGCACAGCTGGCACTGTGGCTGTCACACACCTTCCCTGTCTCTCGGGGCATGGTGCAGCCAGTAGTGCAGAGCCATGGCACCCCATAGCACACAACTTCCAGGAACATGGAGATCTCAAAATCCAGCTGAGCCAAAATCCACATGAGGTGGAGCTCAGGCAGGGAAAACCATTATTTTACGACAGAGAGCTGTGGATGTCAGCTGAACTGGTAGAGCAAGAGCTGCACCAGTTTCCACTGGGAGTCCAGAAAGCAGCAGTTCAGACACCCAAGTCCCTGCAGGAAATCTTCCATATTCCACAGCCTGCYGGTTGGAGTCCACCCAACCCCCTCRTAAGGAAAGAGCACTCTCATCAGACACCTTGTTTCCACTCAGAGCGAAGGTCCCTTTACAGGAAGGGCTTTTCCCCTTCCACTCTGTGCCCCCTCCTTGCTTCGAGGCCCGCCTGAAGTGCAGCACAAGCAGGGGATGCCCTGGGCAGGGCTGGCTCCACGCTCACTGCTCCGAGCTCAGCAGGGTTAGAGGCCTGTAAGATCAACGATGGCTTTAATAAAGATGGCATCATCTCGTACGTAGGAGTTCTTGGCTTCCATGACAGAGACTGGGCAGAAGAGGGGGCAGCCGCTGGCGATGTTCATCTCCGTGACGGGGCGCTGGAAGGACGAGGATGTCACGTCAGGCCGGAAGGCATCGATGATGTGCTCCCGGTTATTCTGGTCCAGGAGCATCAGGGTGACCTGTGGGGAAAGGTGAAAACATAAGGGAGTGGCTGAATAGAAGGCACCCAGTGAGCTGCTGTGACACATGCAAGTACCAGCAGCCACAGCCACCCTGTGCACCAGCAATGAGGGAAACGCCTCTGAGTGGGGCCAGCGGAGAATGTCACCTCAGTAGTGGCCTCTAGAAATCTTCCCACATCCTGCCTGTCACTGGAAACTTCCCTGTGGCAGCACTGGGCTGTCAGACTGACTGAAAACATACACCTTGCTCCCAGCACCAACACTGCACACATGTATTTCCCTGAGCCAGGGCTGTTGTCCTCTGTGAAAGGCAGTGTTCCCTCTCTGTACCCACTTGTGCCTGCCCACTCTCTGCATGTTCTGCAAACCTGCAGTGTCCAGGAGCTGGGATCTGAGCCCCTGACATCGAGTTGCCTGTCGCCCCCGAGCTCCRAGGCCACCAAAACCTTCCCTTGCCCTCAACCCCTGCAGAGGCTCCATGGGGTTCTGAACATCCCATGCCACCCCTTTGCCCCACAGCTCAGCTGGTGCTCTCAGCACACTTGAGAACTCCCAGGGGAGATGACATAGAACCCTTCCTCTGTCTTGCCAAGTAACCAGTGACAGTACCGAGGAACTGGAGTGGTGCCAGAGAGGCTGTGGCTGGACAGTCTGCTCCAGACCCACCTTCTGGTTGAAGGGCCACCGCAGCAGCGCATCGTTAGGTCCCTTCATCACCACGAAAAACAGGGACAGGTGGGTCCCGCGCCCGGTGCCGTCCCCATTCAGGTACACGCGCAGACACATCTTGTAGCCGTACTTGCTGGTGTAGAAAGCTGTCAGAGAAGTGTGAACGGGCAGTGAGGCTCCAATGCAGCACAGCCTGGCACCAGCAGATCCCTCTGAACTCTGAGGGCTCYTCAATTGGAAATCTGTGAGGAGCCAGGTCTGGGCTGCACTAGAGGTGGTCTGGAAAGYCCAAGGCCAGGCAGTACAGCCCCTGGCCTGAGCAAACACTGCACAGAGCAGCCAYTGTCCATCCCCTGGCTGTTCCCCCACTGCCAGGGGAGATTTGCCCCAGAGCTGGGCCATTCCTCCTGCACCCCAGTGCTTAAGGAGCTGTGGTTCAKGGCAATAACACTGGTGAGCAGGAACAAAATCCCCCATAAAGCACCTGGCTGGGGGCAGAGCACCCTCAGCACTCAATGTCCCCGCTGTGAGCTGGTGCCTCTGGTCAGGGCAAGGGCTTACTTCAGTGAGCTTTAGTTCTCATTTGGATCCCCACAGCATGGCTTGGGCATGGCTGGGATGGGATTTCAGGCACTTTCYTTCTCCAGCAATCCTGGGAATGCCTGTAGTGCAACACCAGACCTATGTGGGGTCACAGCTTGGAAGGGGACCTGCCACAAGTCACCTTCCCAACAGTGTCACGGCAACACAGCTGGGGCTGGCAAGGCTCAGCCAGCACAAGCAGAAATCAGAGGTCACAGATAACATTTTACTGCAGGATTTTGTGYTTTTCCCAACAGGCAGACTACAAGTAGTAGAGACACTATGCTYTTCCACAGGGCAGGGAGCAAGAGATCGAGTCTTTGTCACTGCGTCCCTCTTGGCAATCCCCAGCTCATTTCCTCTGCTCCTTCCTCCCCAGCTGCTTCACCCAAAGGCTCTCAGGACAGATGACCCCTTTGCTAGTGCAAGGAGCACATCCCCACTGCCCCTCTGGTGCTTCTCAGCACTCCCATCACCCTGTGAATGTAAACCCCATCAGGAAACAGGAGGAAGGATGGCTCCAGAGTGGTGGGAGCAGCCAGGGAGAGGGACCAGGCAGCTGTGCATCCTGCTCCCCCTGGCCCAGACAAGGAGCAGAGCAAAAATTCAGCAAGCCCCCCAGCTCCAGTCTGATGGATGATGGGTGGCTTCACCCTGGCTTGTCCCAGCTCAGTTTCTGAATGAAACTTCTTTGCACAATTTGCTGCTTTCAAATTAAGATTTTGCCCTTTGCCAGACCCTGTGGCAATCGCTGTGTCCTCACAACACTGCTGGACAGTAACTCCACTTCCTTTCCTTTAACACAGGTATCAGCTGGTATTTCCTTGCCTTTACGTTTAATGCAAACCAAACAAAAACAGCCATTTCCCTCTTTCATCCTATCCACAGCCTGTACCTCTCTCCTCTCAGCCCTCTCTTCCCTCATGGAACAGCAATGCTCTGCCTGCTTCACTCTCCAAGACAAAAGACCCTCATCTACATGGAACATTTTTTTCTCAGCCAAAGTCTCACCAGGAATGAGGATCTYTCAGGCCTGTACTTTGCACTTGAAAGGTAAAAACCCCAGACCTGCCTTTTCCAGCAGCAGTCCTGGCATCAGGCAGAGACAGCCCTCAGCTCCATCCACACTCTGACCACACAAAGAAGTGTCATTAGTAGACTGCAGAGACCAACCAGCAACACAACACATGACCTGATGGCCCACAAAGTGGTTTCTCCTTTGATGCAACAGTTTACAAAAGCCTCAGGTCCTTGCCACAGCTGTCAGCAAGGATGGGGACTGGCCAGCAGCAGGGAGGAGGCACCAGAACCATGAGCCATGGTTTTGGGATGAGCCATACATTTGGAGCACAGTTCATCCCAGACAAACCTCTGGACAGACAGAGCCTTCTGCCTTTGGTAAGGTTTTACCCCTTTCCTGTGGGTTAATTCCCAAACTCATATCCCTCCCCCGGCTGACTTGATTCTCTAAYCCATAAAACCAAGTCCCACACCCTGCCAGGACCCCAGAGGCATCAGCTGGGGGTCTGAGGATCCCCTGAGCCAGTCACAGTGAGCTGGGACACCCAAGGGCAGCAGACAGGCCTGCTCTGTCCAGTGCCTTCCCCCAAACTGCAGCCTCTAGAGAGGTTCAGGTCCAGCACGTTGGGGCACTTCCCTTGGTATGCTTTAGGCTTTATTTAGACATTGTCTCTTGCACAGTCATACTTTAGGCTTTAAAAATGTATCTATCTCTGGAGTTCTAATATATATATCTTCCCTTCCTTAACCATTTTATTGCTGCTTTTATGGTCTCTTGAGTATCTTAATTCAAACAAAAGGGTTACACAAGGATCATCTAGTCCAAGCCACTGCCATGGGCAGGGACACATTCCATCTGACCAGGTGCTCAGGGCCCCATCCAACCTGACCTTGGCAGCATCTCCCAAGCAAAGGACCTGCCACAAGACCCACACCCAGCTAACATGCARAAGATTTTGGGGATTTTGCACACCTGGAGAGAAGATGGCAGGAGAGCGGCCCGTTATTGCCTCCTGACGCTTCCGGGCAAACTCCGTTATCTTCCAGATGAAAACCCCGTCATAGGTGGAAGCCTCCATGTTGCGGATTTTCTCCTCCATCTCAGCCATGGCCAGGTCTTTGAGGCCAATGCTCCTCTCCAGCTGCCGGACCTGCTCAGGGGGACACACAGTGCAGGTTAGGAACACACAGGCTGTGAGCTCTGGAGAGCTGGCAGAGCCTGGCATCCCCTTTGGGACTGCTTCTCACTGAGAGAATGTCTCCAGAATGCACAGGGAGCACGGCTGTGAGACATTGAGCAACATAAGCCAGTTCACTGAAGCTTCCCTCTGTACCCTGTCACCCTGGAGAAGATCCATTGATACAGCTCAGTGCTTGAACTGGAAACTTTCCCATAGCCAATGTGAAAATCCTTACAAGGAGGTGCTTTGTTGGCTGAGCAGCACAAGAAGTGAGGATGGGGGAAAAAAACCAATAATTCAGCATTGTGACAAAACTAAATTGACAAAGAAAAGAACTTACACCCTCTAGAGGGTCTGTCCCTGCCAGCTTACACAGGGTCATGCCAGGTCCCTTGCCCTTCCCCGAGAGCACAAACTGCACAGTTCCAGGTGCCAGGAACACTGGGAGCACTCCAAAGGGACAGTGCTGGTGCAGACTAGAGTAGRCAGCTCCTTCACACCTCCAGAGAGCTGCTGCAAGCAGCAGCACCGATGGCACTCCTTTGGCAAAGGAAGCACTCCTTTGGAAAGGGCTGGAAGGTGAGCAGCCCAACGGATTCAGCGAGATGAAGTGCAAGGACATGCAGTGAAATTCTGAGTGCTCTGGCTCTTATTGGAAAACTTCACTGAGGAAGAACCCCTCAGTATCTGCCCAACTTGATAATTAACAGAGACATGATGCTTTACACAGATGAGTTAAATTCCCAGCTTTTCCAGGGAGCTGCTGAGSGTTGGACACAGGCACAAAGGGTAGTTTAGTTTTGCCTTCATGTTTGTGGAGTTTCAGTGCCGGTGGAGAAGCTCTGCTAGCTTGTAACATGGAAAGGAAACAGGAAACAGCCTCTCCTGGGAGTGCAGGGAAGCCCAGGCACGCAGTTACCTTGTTGCTCAGAGTTTCAATTTTCTCCTGGTCCAGCCGGTGCTGGCGGCTGTAGGCTTCGGCTGTAAGGGACACTCTCTCCACCTCCCGGTTGAGCACACAGACAATGTTCTCAAAGGTCACTGTTTTCCGTTCAAGGGCCTCACATCTTCCCAAGAGCTCCAGGGATGGGGAGAGCTCTGACTCAGAGCACAGCGAGTTTGCTGCCAGCAGTGAGGAGCTGTTTTGTGATGAAGAAASGACAGGAAGGGGCTTCAGGTCCCCAGCACCAGCCTTGAGGCTRAGAACAGAGCTCAGCAGCATGTAGAGATGCTCTGCCAAACACTTGCTTTCATGTTCCAGRAGCTTTTCATTTTCCACCTACATGAAGAGAAATACATCCCCCATTCAGCATATGCAATCTGCACTGTCACCATCCACAGAACAAATTCCTCCTATCCAGGTCACAACATCAGCTTTAAATTTATAATTTATAGGGGGGAAAAACAAAGAAAGTATTAAAAAATGTGTTTCGGTGGGGGTGGTGTGGGGTTTTGTTTTGTTTTAGAAAAGCTTCGATTCACATACAGTGAGGGGTGCTAAATGCTTCCCCCAGCTGTACTGGTCTTTTCTGCCTTCCTCCAACCCCTCCCAGAAAAGCTCTCTCACATGTACCTAACAGCAACAAAGGAGAAAGCCTCACATAACTCCAGAAATTAGTTCAGGAGTTGGAAAACAAAAAGACACAGACAGATATGGCTTCTTCACTTACAGAATCACTGTAATCACAAGTCATTACACATTGCTTGGATTTGAAGAGGCCTTAAAGCTCATCCTATCCCACTCCCTTCCATGGACAGGGACACCTTCCACTAGACCAGATTGTTCCAACCCGGCCTTGGACACTTCCAGGGATCCAAGGACAGCCACTGCTTCTCTGGGCAATCTGTGCCAGGGCCTCACCACCCTCACAGGGGAGAATTTCTTCCTAAAATCTCATCTAACCCTGACCACTGGCAGTGTGAAATCATTCCCCTCCCCCTGAAAGCAGCATGACCACCAGAGTCCCAAAGCACTCCAGGTGCTCCTTAAGTAGGAGATTTCCTGGGACTTCCAGACCCTGTAGATGATGTGAAGCTCCATTTGCAAAGGGTTTAAACCTGCTTTTTGTTCAAATACCTGAATGCAAACACCTGCAACAGTCTGGGCGACAGCAGTTTGCAGGTGAGCTCTAACCCTGGCACTGAAAAGCACCAAGGTAAGCCAAGTGAGGAGTCCTTACCACCTCAGCACAGCCCACAGCCTCAAACCGGCAGGGCACTTTGGATCTGCCACAGGTCTTCACATGGTCTCGAAACTGGAAAGGAAGAAAGAAAGGAAGGCAGTGTTAGATRTGTCCCCAGTGCTCCCTTTCCATCTCACTGACATTTGGGAAACTGCAGCCAAGCTGAAGAATGCCYGAGCTGTGGCTAATCACCAGCTGCCATGGTGCCCACTAAACCTGGGCTCTCATCAGGCATGAGTTTCTCTGGAATACAAATATAGCCCTGATCCCTGAAGRAAGCTTAATTTTTCTTTCTCTGGACAGCTAGGAGGTGTCAATGCTCACCTAAACATGCAAGAGAGAAAAAGCAATAGGTGTGGATGCAGAATAAGGAGCTTCCCTGAAGAAATGGGAGGCATAAGAAACAACCCCACAAAACAGGGACATATTTAATTYTAGGCATTTCACACAGCCCTGGTCAGGACGTGCCACAGGTTGGTATTTTTACCTCCATCCCAGCATTACATTTCTGCAGAGGTGCCACTAACCCCTCAGCAGTGAGATGACTCATTCAGGTTCCCACACAGCGCATGATCAATCCAACAAGCACTGGCACAGCTTCAGCTTGGGTTTAATATATCGCTCACCATCAGATACCAGAGCTCTGTTCTGAACAACCACCATATTCCCCACTTAACTCCTACATCTGCTACAACAGATGTCAATTAAAACTGGTTTTAAACCACTTTTTTAAAGGCTTCTAGATCCATCTGGCTTGTGTAATGAGTCAGGTTACCCTGAGTTAACATGGCAGCAAATAATCAACTGGAGTTTGGAGAGATAAACAGGAGTTAATATTTAAACACAGGGTAATCACCTTTGGGGACCCCATGAGCTGGGTCCCTTCAGGGCTTCAGCTCCAGCCTGCAGATAAGCACCCCAAAACCCCAGCCTGCAGATAAGGTGGGCTGCACCCAAAAACCCCAACTTGCAGATAAGGGGGGGCTGCACCTCCAGCCCCAAGTCTCTTCTTATGCTACCCACTTAGAACACTTTTACTCCTCTTTTTGCTGCCTCTGTTCCCCTGTCCTGCAAAAGGGCTTTTTCCAACATTGCTACTAAAAATATTTGCCTGTAGCAGGCAAGATGGTTTGAAAGTATTTCCCAAAACTTGAATTTTTCATTCTTTTGAACCTCAAAGGAGCCGGCAGCCTGGATATGTTGTAGGCATAGATTCTATTAGATGATTAATTAGAAATCAATTGACATAGCTGGAGATGGGCTCTTTCCAAAAGKGCAGCAGTGGTTAATGTAGTTGCTGTACACAGAACATAAACCCATGAGAGTGCTTTTCCCCCTGGCATGGCTCCATGGGAGGTGGCACTGGCAGCACCAACACTGACCTGCCAATGTCCATGTGCCACATTCCCTCACACCCAATCTTATGGAAAACTCAGACCCACACTAAAAGCTGCCACTTAGTTGTTTTCCCCACTTCATCTCCCAATGGACTCTGCTCCCCCACTTCATCTCCCAATGGACTCCCAATGGACTTCCTGCTCCCAGAATGCCAATCAGCCCATCAGGACACCAAATACCCCATGGCACAGGGTGGGATGGATACCTTCTCCCTGGGAATCTTCTTCCCACAGCCTTCGCAAGTCAGCGGGAATTCAGGACAGACCTCATCATGAGCCTGTGAAGGAATGTACAGGAGATAGTTGTCCTCAAAAGCCCCMCAGAAGTTCTGTGATGAGCACAGCCCCACAGGGGTGGATTTATAYTTCATTACAGCCAAGCACTGGATTTACCAACCTACACTCAGACCTTGGTCACGCTGATCCTTCTGAGTGGTTGCTGGCTCATCCTGCGACCTCAGGCTACCCCAATTTTGGGTGCCCACATAGCCTCCCTCTCTATTTAAAAGCTGCTACAATGATGTTTTTGAAAAATCAAATTGTTGTTTTGATGGCAAAGATAATCAATGGGAAGCTCCMTTTRTGGCTCTGCCAGGAGAAGATACATTGGGGCAGGTTGAATAGAGTGAGCCACKACCTCAGCAGGATAATTTGGATCATTTTTCCACCATAATGGTTATCAGTCAGCTGAACCATGGGGCCTRCACCAGCTCATCACACTCCAGGCTAAGCTGTCTGATTGTATCTTCACATTTGAATTAGAATACCATTTTTCAACCAGAAAGAAAAACATTTTTAAACTGTTTCATTTCCCAGTCCCCGCACACAAGCACCTGCCCCAGCAGCCAGGGTCAGGGCTGTGTGATRACCAGAGAGGCTGAGCAAACAACCAGGGCAACGTGATCCTCTATCCTTGGTAGACTCTTGGGCAACAGTGCTGGCTAAATTGGGAATGCTGGAACATGTCTCTGCTTCTGTGTCATTTCCACACTGCCTAAACCTTCTCTTTACACACCCACCAGTTGAAATAAGGCATTGGAAACACCATAAATATGCAGATCAAAATTCAAATTAAAAGATAAGAGCACTGAAGTCTCCTGCCTTGGTCCCATTTAGTCTCTGTTCACAGAAGGTACTGCCTTGGGGGGAACATGCACAAACATCACTGGGTCACACATCAGGAAGTGGAAAGTAAAACCAGAGGTGGCTCCACTTTGGCTTCTTARTTACTCTCTCTTTTACATTTTTTTAAGTAACTTAAGCTCAGAGCTTCACTGTGTGTCCCTGGAGRGATGACCAGCCAGCAGGATTTGGGGCACTGCTGCCTGCATGGACACTGCTGCCTGCAGAGGGGGAGGAGGCCAAATCCCTGCCTTCATCCCACTCACTCAGAGGGGCTGAGCCCTTTCTTCTRCCCACCTACTGCTCTCATGTTCTAGAAACATACRATAAYATCACCCCCAAGACCCACAAAGTAYGGRCAGAACAGATGGTCTTGCTGRAGGAAGGAAACTTCACTGCAGAGGTAACTATTTTAAAAGGGAGTATTTTAAACTTTGGGTCTCCCATGCCAACATGCTGGGTGTGAAACTACCACCCCCTCCACACTCCCCACCTCCCAGCATTTATCCTACATCCACACTCCACTCTGCACCATGATGTAATGCCCAAGAGTGGACAGCCCTGYCTGCCCAGCTAAACCCAAAGTGGAACTGTTCTTGTATGTAAATAGTTAAAGACACCCAGAAGCTTCAGCTAGTGCAGATCCAAACTTTTCTGTATAAACAGTTTCAGGCTCTTCTGGAATCCCCTGTTCCTCCCACCCCACGCAGGTGTCAGAAGAGAGATGGATGGTATCACTGCTGGAGGAAATCCACCCCACCCAGAGCCAAGAGCAGAGGTGGCACTGGAGCCTGATCTGCCACACTCCACACCCCCAGCAATGGGGCAATCCTCTTTATACCTTTCCCAAACCCACAGCTGCAGCTTCTGCTACAGGGAGAAGCACCAATGACATTCAGGCATTTGCTTGGGAAGTTTTTGAGAGTTCTAGAAAGCCATGGCAGTGAGTGGGGAGAGGGAAGAGCAGGCACTCGTGGTGTGCTGGAGGGAACCAGAGTGGAAATCAAGACAGACAGGGGTCAGAGGGAGAGGACAGCCATGGAAAAATTAAAGTGGAGCTGGAAGAAAATGGCTCACCCAGAGAGGCACATGCCAGCCTGCAGCATTCAACAACAGGAGCTGGAAAATCCACTGGGACAGTTAACAGGCTTCAGCAACACCTGGCTCTTCCCAATCAATTACAGCCAAAGTCGCTGATTGATCCACACATCAATTTATTTCCCTAATAATTCACAGAGAGACAACCCCACAGCAGCCTGCCCATCACCAACTGCTATCAGACAGGCCATTCTCTGGAAGCCCACCTGAAAATAGGCCCATGGAAGGACCAAGCAACTGAGAGGAACTTGTGGGTTCCCTCTGCAGCTGCTCAGACCCTCAGCACCTCCATGTGCTCCAATGGGTGCAAATATCCCATCACAGAATCACAGACTGGTTTTGGTTGCAAGGAATCTTAAAATTAATCTTTTTCCACCCCCTGCTATGGGCAGGGGCACCTTCTACTAGACCAGGTTGTTCCAAGCCCCATCCAATGCTGGCCTTGGACACTTACAGGGATGGGGCAGCCACAGCTTCTCTTGGCAACCTGTGCCAGGGCCTCACCACCCTCACAGGAAAGAATTCCCTCTTAACATCTAATCTAAATCTCTCTTCTTTTAGTTTAAAACTGTTCTACCTTTTCCTATAAGTCCATGTAAAAAAGTCTCTCTGCATCTTTTTACAAAGTGCAGTGAGGTCTCYCTGGAGCCTTCTCCAGGCTGCTCAAAGGTGCTAAGCTCTCCCTTCTGCCTGCAGACCCACTGGCAAAYGGAGCTGCCTGTGCCTACTGGGAAACTCCCACCTCAGTATCATGAAAGCAGAAAAGCTGTATATTTTTAAATTTCCAGTATTTGCAGCCAACGTTTTTCTCTCTGGCAGCAGGATGAGGCAGTTCCATCTGGGATAGCAAGGGCAGCACTGTGCCCCAGCTGTGCGGGGAAGTGCAGGCATACARAGGAAAAAGTGGGTTTTAATAAGGGCAGCTGATCCCAGGAGCACACAGTGATTGCTCCTAAGGAAGCTGAGGGCAGACCTCACTGTGCTCTGAAGYTTCCTCACCAGGTGTAGCTCCAGTCTTTGCTCTATGTGACCAGCAACAGGACTCGAGGCAATGGCTGGAGCTGTGCTAGAGAGTTTTATTTTGGAAAAGGCTCTTCCCCAGAGGGTGGTGGGGCACTGAACAGGCTCTTCAGGGAATAGTCACAGTCCCAAGGCTGCCAGAGCTCCAGGGCAACACTCTCAGACAGAGAGTGGGCTTGCTGGGATGTCCTGTGCAAAGCCAGGTGCTGGACTGCATGGTCCTTGTGGGTCATTTCCAGCTCAGGATATTCCATGGTTCCATGACAATGTCAGAATGAGCTGCTCCCCTGCTTCTGCATCAGACAATAGGGAAAACTGCAATTTCATCTGACCACCATTTCATCTCTCAGGGCGTCACAAAATTCAGCTCTAACTCTGGAAGAGGCTCCCACTGGATATCATCACCTCCATACCCTGATGGCAGAGCAGGAGGTGCCCCTGCTGCCCAGCTGCTCATTACCCTCCACACCCACACAGGTCTCGTTCTATGGAGCTCTTGTAACCATGCTAGGAATTCATCAGCATGACACAGGGCTCCCCCTCTTGCAAAGGGACAAGGCAGGTGGCTGGGAAATGCTGCTGTTAAAGCAGCTGMTGGGAGATACCTCTGCCAGAGCCTGTGGGAAGGTCACAGCAAAGGGCAGGGCTGGCAGAGGGACGGGGGACAGCAGGACAGGGTCCGAGTGAGCTGCATGCTGCAGCCCTCCTGCAAAATCCCCTGGTCTTGGATTAATTAATCTCCTCTGAGCACAGCAACAGTGACTATAAGCAGAGAGCTCAAGGGCTCAGCAGCGGGAAGAGAGCAACAAAAAGGTAGCAAAACTACCAGGATGGCAGAGGAAAGCTAGCTGCTATGGCACAGGGCACACCAATGCCTGTCAGGGCTTGGATGGCCTCCAGCCCCAGCACTGCCATGTGCAACACTTGGCTCCTTTGACATGGTAGCCTGGCTACAAGAGAAATGGTGGGCCCATGGAATTGTAGACAAAACATTGAAAATGGGTCTCTAGTGTAAAAGACAGGATTTTGAGGGAACCTGAATCCTTTATGCTTAGAAGCATGAGTTCCTTCGTGCACCTCTGCCAGCTCCCGGGGGCTCTGGAGTCYCCAGGTTGGCAATGTGCCACAGTGACAGATACTTTGTATATAAACTCTACACACAATGTATACTTTGTATACTCTGAACTCCACACGCCCTCCTGTGCTACAGCCCCTCCTGCCAGGGAAGTCCTAAGATGGTGCTGCGCCTGGCAGGCTCAAACCTTTCCCCACACAGATAGGTCAGGCTGCCAGGCACAGGGTGACCACATGCTCAGTCCTTGTGCTACTGCACGGAGCCCAGCAGCACAAGGCTGGAAAGCAGGAACCCAGKCTGTAATTCCCAGGGCCAAATGGGAACGGGAACTTTCTGAGAACTTCTCCCTTGCTGGGACATGCTGGTGACAGATTCAAGCAAGCTTACTTGGCACCGCAAATTATCAAACCTCAAAGAAAATGTCAAAACCAAAGAGAAAGTTTGCATCAGTAGGTGCAGTTGGCTCCAGCTGGGCATGCAGGGAGGGCACAGGAACCTAACACACCCTCACTGCTGCTCAGTGCCCTGGTGCCCACCCAAGTAAGGACAGAAGGTGGCAGAAGCCATGTCGGGGTTTCCATGGGCCTGGCTCATGCTTCTGTTCACACCCAGTGCAGGAACTCTTGTTTTCAGTGGCGAAGTTTTGCTCATCAGCTGCTAGGGCTGATCAGACAGAGGGTTGATTTGGAGATTGTTGGCAGAGGGACACCAAGGCAGTGTTTCAGGCACTGAGGACAAGTGTGAAGGCAAGAGCAGTTTCTCATGGCAGAGGAGAGTACAAAATGCATTTGAAGCAACAGCAGGTTTTCTGCCATTTTCTAAAACAYTCTGCCACCCCTGGTTGCTTTCAACTATGAACTTCAAGCATGAAGTGCTGGCATATTGCAGCATGCATTTTCCAAAAAAAACCCTCCATCATCCCAGAGGAATGATTTTCSTAGGGAGATTCTGTTCTGAAAGGGA